TAGAAGAGTTAAACTGATCCTGGCCTCCCTAACGGTGATGATGATAGCCCGAAACATTACGAGCTATTCATGCCTCAGGGGAATATTGTTGTATTCTGGATTGTTCGGTATATGAGTGAACAGTCCCTTGAATCCAACAGGACGCCAGAGAGATCAGTACATCCCAGACCGCTGCAGAGTAGACACAAGTCTCCCTGCACATAGCCGTCCAGGGACCTGTGCTATATACAGTGCACAGACAGCATACAGAGAGAACCTTTCCTGACGAGAGATAAGAAGATGAACCGAGTTCCAGTCATCACGTGGAACCCTGCCTACCTAGAGGAACTGGAACCAGAGGGAGGAGTTGTTCCAGTATATCCTGATACCTTCATGAGCGGGAACTCTCAGATCATCACAGCTCCGGCCTCAGAGGATGGAGATGTAGTTGAGGAAGTTGTCGAGGACAACAAAGAGGAGCAGGATGATGAAGATCTACCCCAGTCGATGAAGGATATGTATGACTTCCTTGGTGAACTATCTGGGAAGATTCAAACCTTTAACAGCACCATGAAGAGGAGTACAAACCCTGGTCAGCCACCAGTGGTCCCTGATGAGGTCCCAACTTTAGATGATGAGGATGTGATTGAAGATGTCCCAGAGGATGCCGAAGAGGATACCAAGGAGGTACTCCAGGATGCAGTCCAGAGCCTATCAAGGTTGAACGATGGGCTCAGGAGTGTATTGTCCCTTAGCAGGGACACCAGCTCGTCACAGCATACTGATGTCCCCAGAGTTGATATCTGGGACACAGGGAAGGCTATAGAGCATGAGTTCAGGCTATTCCCCAACCCGACCAGGAAAGGGTTGAAGGACCGGCTTGAGAACCAAGTTTGGAACCTGCTTCAGCTCATACAGGAACGAGTTGATCAAGGAACCTACAATGATACAGATATTAGACTAGTAGATGGATTACATGTCATATCTGTCCTACACGCTAGACTCGGTGTCCTAACTGAGATAGCACTTAAACATAGAGCTAAGAGACCTAAAGACTACCAAGGGATCTAAAGCTAATGTTAAGCTATTATTATAATTATGTGATTTATGTATGCATTTATAAATGTATGATTGAAAGTATCAATAAATGTATTCATGATGTAAGAATGACTTTATTACTTGGGTGTTTAGATTTGCACGTGCATTCAGACATATAAGGCTATCTCTCTATATATGGAGATAGCTGAAGTATTGTAATGCCAGGTTGCAAAGATATAGACGGCGCATGAGGAGTTAGGCCGCCGAGATAGGACTAACCCGATCTGCAATGTCATCAGGTTACACAAATGTAGATGAAACGAGTTAGAGTACTTGGGCAAAATCTCATTAAGTGTGAATTTTAAGATACCGATTTATTGCACGTTTTGTGGTTCGAGAACACCACACTCTGCATTATTGATTTCGATTTGTGGGTTATCCTGTTGTATTACTGTTCATTATTGAGAATCTTGCTGCTATCCGACAACAACTCTGTTTGTATACTGTAATTTCTTGTTTTACAACCGTATGCAGTCAAAACATAAACAAAGAAAATGTGAACATAAAGCAGACGAAACTCTTACAGATTACAGCTTTCTCAGTAAGTATCACTATACTAAATTAAAGAATTATTTCAAAAGACGGTATTGAATTTGTCACTGAATTCCCATGTTTATTGGGACACCCTGTATATCTGAAATCAAAGGTTTTAACAAATAAAATCGAATTCAATTCAGAATTAGTTTCCCAAATATCTTAAGTCTCGCGTAAAAAACTTTTGAAATTTTGGTCGAGTGAATCCCAGATATATGGATTGGATATACCTAGCCAGAGTTTTAATAATGTCGTATTCTCAACATCTTTTAGATCAAATGCCGCGGGAAAACGAGGAAAATAAATCAATTGTTGTTCTGAATATTTCAGGCCTTATAATTTACCTATTTTCAAAGTAAAATGAAATTTCTAGAAAGTTATGACTCTACAATGATATTTGGATATATTTTCATATATTGAATTCAACCCTTAAAGAACATCTCAGCAGCTTTCTTTTTGTGCAGACCAATGATTAAGCATATAAATTTTTAAATAAGTTTCAAGACGACATTTCATGCACTCTTGCTATGTATTCTTATATATGAGATTGGCTGTATAAAATTTGGACTGCTTAGCGGAGGCTCAGTGCTGAATAGCATATCTCATGGGCAGCCAGGTGTTAGCTCCCTAGAATATCTTGCTCTTAACTGCTCAAAAGTCGTTTCTGTTCCTTTCTATTCAGTTATACATTTAATTGTAAATGTAAAACATTCTGTTTACATATTTAACATTTTTATATTTTTATTTCAAATTATCTTGACAAATATATTTCAGGGATAAAATGCATGGGATCTATGGCCACATTTAACGTTAAGAAAAATAATGCCTATTTATTTTTACTGTGTTCACGCAATCATGTAACTAATTATTTAGCTACCCTGTGTCCTAATTTTCTAATCCTTCATCTTTACAACCTCACGTCGTTGACCTCTGAGTCCGAATTTAAAGAATTTGAGCCGCGGCTTAAATTTAAGCCGTGGCTCAACTATTGTTAGTTCCACTTAAAATTGTACTTAATGTTTTAAGATTTAAGCCAGCGCTCAAGTGAACCTGGTTTTAGGGGGATTTGAGACGCGGCTTTAATTCATAAAATTCGGACACTGGTTGTTCAAACTTTGTAATTTGCAAGATCAAAGTTAAAATTTGAGAATTTAAACATTAGACTCAGGTGACACAAATGAATGGATTTATTGAATATTATAAATCAGTTTTATGTGATATTTTTTCTTGTCATCCACGCATAAGATGCATAAATAAATATTTGAGCCAAGCCCTCTCAAGTGAATGACATTTCACCCAAAAGATCGATACGTTGTTTAATTCTTCAACACTTTTGGGAAGAGGCTTTTAAAACAAAATTTTATCAAATATAAGAAATTATATTTCCCTGGTTTGGTTGGTTTTTAATTAATTAACCAAATTAACCCATTAATATTTCGTCAAGTATCAAAATGAATAAATAATGCGTGACATGTTTGATCCTGAAGTTAAATAGTTTGAATAACATTTTTATAAAATTTTCAATAGAAAAAATATTAGCACATTTACATAAAGCGGTCGTTATATATAACCCAGTATATATTACTATATTACATACATAACTTAAATTATATCAAGCAAGAAGTATGGCATTGATCAAGAAATATTTAAGGGCTGGGTATCATTGTTTTTGGTACCTGATACCCTTCAAAAGATTATGTACTGTAAAAAGTTGTTCACTGCTGTACAGTTTATACAATTTGTACGATGTACACGGCAACATTTGTTCAACTGTGACAAGGTTTATGGCGCTTTTATGGAATCATCTTGTAAACAGGATCTATATGAAATGTACCCCTGTACAATGCATGTTTACAATAACAAAACCAGGTGGATATTGGATATTCAGAGGTCAAAATTAATACATAGTGAGCAGCAGTGGGCAGATCTAGTTGAACTTTTTCTCTCTCATTCATAAAATCCCAATTTCTGACACTTTAAGTGTATGTTTGTTTACATTAACTGGTATGCGTTAATAATCGATTTAAAAAACAAGACTAATCCTGTTTCTAGAATAGGATTAAACCGGTTTTTAGAAGAGGATAAAACCAGTTTCGAATACAGGATTAAACTGGTTTCCAGCAAAGGATTAAACCGGTTTCACGTACAGGATTAAACCAGTTTCGAGTTGAGAAACCAGTTTCGAGTAAAGGATTAAACCGGTTTCTAGAAGAAGGATTAAACCGATTTCTAGTACAGGATCAACCCGGTTTCTAGAATAGGATCAAACTGGTTTCTAGAATAGGATCAAACTGGTTTCTAGAATAGGATTAATCCGATTTCTAGTACATGATTAAACCAGTTTCTAGTACAAGATTAAACCGGTTTCTAATACAGGATTAAACCAGTTTTTAGTACAAGATTAACCCGGTTTCTAGTGTAGGATCAAACCAGTTTCTAGAACAGGAATACACCGGTTTCTAGTACAAGAAAAAACCGGGTTTGAAATTGATTTAGAACTGGTTTGAACTTGATTTAAAACTGGATTGAACTTTTTTCCAAAATTGTTTGAACTTCATCTAAAACTGGATTGAACTTAATTCCAATATTGTTTGGACTTGATTTCAAACTTGTTTGAACTTGATTCCAATTCCAAACTTGTTTGAACTTGATTTAAAACTGGATTGAACTTGATTTAAAACTGGTTTGAATGTAAAGATGTAGAGTGGAAGATGTATCCCTGTCGTCTTTTATCCGTTGATAGATTTAACTCATTGGGTCTGGAGGCAGGATACATTGATTCTGAAATAGATAAAACATAAAAACAAGAAGTGTAAGCAACATGCTGAAAATTCAATGAGAAACAGACAAAAATTAAAAAACAAGAAAACCAATGAGTTCAGAATAAAATATAACATGAGAGAATGTTTAAAAGAGGAAGTGGAATGAATAAAGGTAAGCACTAAGCATGATACAAAATAATATAAGATATAAATGAAAAAAATTTACAAACTTTTGAATAGACGTGGTAACGTTCAGAGGCGTATACAGGGGGGGGGGGGGTCAAGGGGCCTAAACACCCTCCATGGATGAGTGAAATGGTTTTCAGGCCCCAGCGGGTGCTGAACGATTAGCCCCCATGGAAAAAAAAATGTTGAAATAAACTTCCGGACGAATTCCTGTAAAAAATTAGTAGCTTTAATTTAAATACGACCAGATATATAAACCTATTTTCAGATAAATCCTATTTACGGAGTAACTTAAAAGCAAAAATCATAATAAAATATTTTTTTTCAGAGTTTTAGGGATATCCTACCAACAATGTCGAATTCTGAAGTGACTGTACTAAATCAGAATTTGACGAGAGACTTAAAGGGACTGTAAAGGAAAAATGAAAGGGGGTATAGGCTGAAAGCTAATCACTTTAGCACTCGATCGCGACCCATGAAAGTTATATCTGATGTTCCTATCTCGAGAAAATGGTTTACAACTTGGTCAAATTTATACGAAAATTAATATTTATACAATTTTGTATAAAAGTAGTGGGTTTAAAAAGATCAAATTCAGCAAATATGCAACCAATCTGAAAACGATGATATCCCAGAGAAAGCTAATTGTAACTTAGGTTTACTCCAATTCTAATTTTATATTTGTTATTTCTATTTTTTATAGATTCATAATATTATTTATACGTCCGTACGTATAGCTTGACCAGAAATTCCACCAATGGCAGTTCAGTAAAGTGGTCACGTGATACAGGCGGAGACACGTGACCAGTATACTGCTCTGCCATTGGTGATAGTTCTGGTCACGTGATTTAAGTTTAAGATTTTCTAGATTTTACATATATGAACTTTCGTATAATTTTTTTATATCAATTTCTCGAGACAGGAACATCAGATAAAACTTTCATGGGTCGCGATCAAGAGCTAAAGTGATTAGCTTTCAGCCTATACCCCCTTTCATTTTTCCTTTACAGTCCCTTTAAGGTTGGTGGTTTTGGCGTTTGAAGTTCACTAATATTAAATTTCCGTTACGTTTTCAGCAATAATAAAAATAATATTTTCTTGTGTTGAAAAAGTATTTCCTACCGAATCTTGTAGATCTAGGTAGAGAGCGGGATAGATTGATATTACTGGAGTCCAAAACTCGTCCCAGACTTGGACTATTTGGAATAGAACTAATCTCAACGTCCCCGAAATACTGGTGATAGTCCGAGAAACGGTTAAAGTTCTCGTCCTCGTCCTTGGAGGACAAATAGTCTGATCTGGAGGCCAGGTATTCATGTAGAGGACTGTCAACCTCCTCAATATGTATTCTATCCTCTAAACTGTCCTCCAAGGCAAGGGAGTTAAACGCCTGTAATCCCGGTTTCCATAAGTTAAGTGGCCCGATAATAAAAATATTAACAATAAATTAACTGTAAATGGTATATATTGTGGCTCGTCAATCATAAAGTGGCACATCCGATTTACATTTTACCCTTTACACCTCTTAGTAACAATGAATTCGATATAGTTAATTCTCTATTTAAAAAAGTGTTTAATTCTCACAATTTCATTCCGAGTCACTGCAGCATCCACAAGTCACTTTTCCAGAGAAATAATTATTATCAGTTTGAAAATAAAGATATCTCATTCATCTAATGAGACAAAGGTAAAAAGGGTACTGTTAAGTAAATCAGACATGCCATTCTATAAATAGAATTTCACTTCTATTTATATTTACAATTTATTTTTATTCGTCATTTTAAATTCTGTGGTTCAGCAAAATTGTATCGGAAAGTTTAGATCTATTGGGAACCCTGCCTGTGTGACCGCTAAACTAGGCGGGGCCGATGTATTGTGCGGTGTGACCGGTGATTCAACTGTAGGAACCGGGCTACCGAGCAGTTGACCGCGTCCAGCTTGACCTTTTATATGACCGGGAGCAGGACTGAAAGGACGACCTCTCCTTCTGCCGAGTGTACCATGGGAGTAGGAACCTGACTGACAGCCTTAACATAATAATACTGATGATATTGATGATAATGATGATAGTAATAATTTACTGATGATATTGATGATAATGACGATGATGATAAAAAGGGCGATAGTAATAATAATAATGATAATCATAATAATAACAAAATTAAACTAACCTAGCCCGGCTTTCTCTAAACTCGTTCTGCTGGACTGTAAAGACCGAACCAGCTCCTTTGCTTCGTATCTAAGATTTTTTCTCCCCGGGCTTCTTCCTCTGAAAAAAAAATACATAAATACAAAATTAACAATTCATTTTCGGCATATCAGCTAAAAACATTATGCACTCCCCGCAAAGGGGGTGGCGTACTCAGAAATTTGTCCAGAAAGGGGTGGGATTGCATTTTTTCTTTCAAGTAGGGGCTCAGCACCCATTGGGGCTGATCAGTCATCCCCAATAGTACCCCCCCCCCCCGCCTGAGAGCGCCTCTTGACGCACTTTTGGGACGCAGTAATAACGGGAGCAAAGTTGTGCATGTTGTGTAGCGGTAGGACTGCCTGGCGGGTTTGACAATCAAGGAGAATTTTAATGATTGAATTTTTATTTTACAAACGTCTCAAAGGTCTCAAATATTTCCTAAAAATTTTCTCTATAATACTGCATTCTCAACTCAAATACCATGTCTAGCCAGACACTCCCTTTAAAGTTCATATTTTGAATACCTGATATCTTGTGTCGGAGATTCAGGATCTAATGGTGTCTGAGATCTACTGGCATCTCTAAATTATCAAAATATAAGAATTTCTGAGATCGACAGCATATCGAAATTTTCGTTGAACGAAATTCGCGAAAATGAACGAACGAAATTTGATGAAATTTTCGCCCACATTTTCGGGAAACTTTTAAATTTTCGCAAAACTTTCGTTCGATAAAAATCAAAAATTTTCCATTTCGCATCAAGAAGATTGTATTTTTGCGAGAAAAAAAAATAAGAATTTAGAACGATAGGGATCGAAAATTTTGAACGGATTTCGCAAAAACTTTGAACAATTTCGAACGAATTTCGCAAATTTCGTGAAAATTTCGAACGAATTTCGTGAAAATTTTGAACGAATTCGCAATTTCACGAAAAAATGTTAACGAAAATTTTTTCGTTCACAATTATGTAGGCTGAACGAAATTTTCAAGAAAGAGATTAAGCAAAACTTACTGGCATCTCTAAATTATCAAAATATAAAAATATTGCGAAACTTTTTCTAAGGTTACTTTTAACACGAAGTATACAAAAGACGACTTCAAGTAAACTAAATTGTTTCTACGGTTGTAACGCAAATTAGTTTTACAAATAGCATAGAAATCAACTGAAATAATGCTATGGAATCCGCCAATGAAAACAGGAAAATCTGCGAATTATTTTTATTGTTTTTAGTTTTATTCTCAATGTATAGATGCTTGCCAGCAGATCAGCAACATACAATTAATTAATATCAGAACTAAAAACCTAGAAAAATAATACCTGAAGAGACCTAGAGTTACAGTTTCGTCACATTGACGCAGAAACATTATCAGTTCCTAAACATAATATTATCAGCTCCTAAGCATAATATTATCAGCTCCTAAACATAATATTATCAGCTCCTAAACATAATATTATCAGCTCCTAAACATAATATTATCAGCTCCTAAACAT